GTTTACCCGCCCGACCAGCCGATGGTCTTCAATCCCCAAAACCCCAATGCTCCGCCGATCTACCCTTGCGGGATCTGCCACAAGGAGGTCCATGACAACGATCAGGCTATCCTCTGTGAGTCTGGGTGCAACTTCTGGTTCCATAGGTAAGAGACTCATGCACTCCTGGCACCCATTCAGTCGTTGCATTTGAGCCAGGTAAGTATTTGCCCGTTATTTATTGATTTATTTGGTATGGGTTCCCTCTTTTCTCTTATTACTACTTATCTTTTTTTTCTGTTTGAAAATTGAATGTGCAATTTATTGTCTGTTTGAACCAAAAATGTAATAAATCCTTTTGAAAAAGTAAGTTAGTTTTAAATCTTAAATCTCAACCTAAACTGTAATGATTTATTTCCTTTATGAAGTTAACCAAAAATGTATGTTAAATCTATTTCTTTATTAATGTTTTTTTCTCTTATGAGCAAGGATACTCAAAAGCTGCAGATAAAAAAGTTTTAGGAGACGAGCTGAGGAAAGCCAGGGATATTGGGTGCCCTTTTCGATATATTTTTCCCAGAAAGAGAATTTGTTATGCAGTAATGATGGATGTTGTCAAAATAACATACAAGAATACATTCATTTGGTGATTCAATTTTGTGATAACAAGGGATGTCATTTGGCAAAGAAATGAGAATTGTCTTTCATCTCTTCCATCACCTTTTATAATAGATGAGAGAAAATGTTTGCTTTAATTACGAAATCATTTTGTTTGCACATGATTACTGAACTGTTTCTTTTCTTTTCTAATTTATTTTAAGTATTTAGGGTCTTTACAGGTGCAGCATATCTGGGGATGTTATGATTCTTTTATTATTTTACAAATCATTTGAATGATTTTATCAAAGCTTTGCATATAACTCTTATCATATTAATTAGTCAACATAAGATGTTTAGTGATAAGGATCTAGTCACAGGATATGTCAGTTACAAGCCTCTCATTCCAACAGGGTCTGCACAGGATTGACAGAGGGTGCATACCACCTGTTGACGGGTGAGGTGTATGCCGAGTGGGTGTGCGACAAGTGCCTCAACTCGAAAAACATACCACTGGTCAAGTTCAAACCATGAGGACGAGCAATGGACATGTAAAGGGATCAGCTGGGGCGAGATCTCCCCTATTCCCCCACCACTGCTCATGCGCATGTTCAAGCGCAAGCAGTCAGCAGAGAGGCCTTTTCTTTTCTTTTCTTTTTTTTCCGTTTTTCTTTTTTTTTCTCTCTTTTTTTGTTCAGCATCACTGAGGAAAGTTCCATGTCTTCCCAAGGCCCCTGTTGCCAAGCCTTGCCTTTGCTGATTCCTTGACATAGTCCAGCCTACCGAGTTCCCATTTTATAAAGAGACTCGTGTTAGGATTACTTAATCTTAGTTTTTGATAAGCAGCTCCCTGAGAATGGAGACACCTTCATAATTTTTTTGAAGTTGTGGAGGTTTTTAGAGTAACTGAACTCTGCGTATATTGCAGAAAAAAATCTTTTTTATTGAAGTGGAAATGAGAATTACTAAAACCACATCCATCCTAGAGCAAATTGGTTTAGATAGAGTGATACATTTAGAGTTAGGCATGAATTTGATATATGAATTATATGTTAAGTATACTAGACTCTCTGTTCTTATAGAGGGGTGTGTTATTTCACTGAGATCTGATTGAGAGTAATTCATTATTGGTTATTTAGGATTTTGAACATTAGATGTACAATATGATATGACACTTGATTACAGATAGTAAATAATGATAGTTAGTGTGGTTGTTTTAGTAACTGTTATTACTACTATTACTTTTGTTTATCAGTGTTATTAATTTCATTTATTATTATTGTTATTATCATCATCATAATTATCATTATCATGATTATTGTTATCCTGATTATTATTGCCATAATTATTGTTATCATGATTATGATAGTAAGGATTATTATTATTATTACCATTATCATTATTATTATTATTATTATTATTATTATTATTATCATCATCATTATTGTAGTTATTGTATGTTGTTACTATTCATTATTGTGATTTTTATCATCAATACAATTGTTTATATTTTTTAGTAATGTTACTCTTTATTTTCTATTGCAATTGTTGTTATTAGCTTTACCTTTATTTCTGTATTATTATTTTTATTATTACCATTATTATTATTATTATCATTATCATTATTATTATTATTATTATTATTATTATATTTTATTATTATTATTATTATTATTATTATTATTATTATTATTATTATTACTATTACTATTATTATTATTATTATTGTTATTGTTATCATTATTATTTTTTTATTATTATTGTAATTATTAATGCTTTCTTCATTATCATTATTATTACTGTTGGGTTTAGTACTACTTCTTCTCTCATTAATATTAGCATTTTCATTATTGCATATTTTTGTATATTTGTTTCTATAACTACACATTCTTATGATCATCATCATCACTAATGTTTCTCTGCTCTTGTCATCATCAGCAGGAATGATTAGTGTTTAATTTTAGCTTTATTTTGATATTATATAATTTTCAAGTTCTTTACAAATACTAATAAATGTTATTTCTGTCATCCATTATTATATTTTCATTGTAACCTGTTATTTTGTTTATTGATCTCTGAAGTTAGTGATTTTTGTTTATCTGATATTGGGCATTATGAGCCAGTGTTGGTCTCGTTTCTTTCTTGTCTGTTTTGTCCGTGAAAGTTGCGTATGGTTATATTACTGTTTGGTGAATATATGATTTTTTTTTTTTTTTTTTTTTTTTTTTTTTCTCCAATTCAGTTAATTTTTTAGATAATTATATTCTTGTACTCCAATGATCATTGTAATATTGTCATCATTGTGTAAAAGAAAAGGATGAATTTCAATTCAAGAATTAGATGGAATGTAGTATGAAGTACCAGATAATGGATGGTGTGGAAATATATTTAAGATATAAGTGGGAATGATGAAAAAAAATGTGTTGTATACAACTAAACAGAATATTAGATTATTGATTCAGGAACAGAATTGAATGCATCTTAAAAGATTCCAGTAACTCCCATCAGCACAGTACAAACAAAATATTGATCTTTTTTCCTCCTTTCTCTCTTTTTTTACATATATTTTGTCTCTCTCTTTTGTTTTCCTGAATTATAACAGAGTGCCATATGAGAAGATATGAAAGTCTTGCTTGTCAGGAATGAAACCCAAGATACCCCCATCCCTCCTTTTTGTAAATAGTCATTAAATACATGACAAAACAGCATTTTTTATTCATGAGTAAAGAGTTTTTTTTATTCACGAAGAAATGGCTTTTCTTGTATCCTACAGTAGATCTTTTTTTTTATTAAGAGGAAAGAGCTTCACTGTATGTTTAAGGGTATTAGTTTCAATGAAAACATTGCTCCTTCTTCATAAAGGTCTATTTAGATCTTTTTCTACACAGCTATATGTTTAACCCGATGGATCTGGTTGCGTCATAGAAATCCCAATGCCAAAAATACGGGCAGTGGCTTACATTAGTAGCCAACATTCTAGGCATGCAGTACATAGGCCAGGTGTGCATGAACACCCATGAGCAATGACAAGACTCTGTGCCTCCCCTTTGCAAAGTTATTTTGTGTAAACTTTTTTAGCTGTTTTGCCATTTCCCAATGTCCATATTTGTCTTTTGATTTGCTTTATCCAGATGGTAATAGCTTATTTTCCTTGCAGACTCCATGTCATCTCTCTATGTAGTAAATAACTGAGTGCAAGAAAAAAAGGACATTATTTTTTGTAATTTTCAGTTTTTACGTAATACAACCAGTGTACAGGAATATGGTGCACAGCATGGAAAGGATGTCCTACCTGGAGCCAGCGCTCTTCCAGTCACAGCTTATGCATGTTCCATCCCACATTTATTTATCAATGGGAATACTGTTAAAGCCCCCTTCTATGCGCCAAATGAGTCAAATCACACTCCAAGAGGTTTGTGCACTCTTGGCAAGTCTTTTCCTTCACTCTGACCTTCGTATGGGATGGCAAGCTGATGTCACTCGGGCCTCTACCCAGATTTTTCCATGATGGGACCGTAACGTCATCTGGATCATAGGGGTTAAAGAATCTTTTTTTTCACTCTTTATTGTTGTCATGGCCATTACTATTTAATTGTGATAGCTCTTTCTATTTATATTTGTTTTTTCCTTTTTTAGCGTTTGTAGGTTAAACTCAGCACATAATGAGTATATATTTTAGGTAGATGATTAGATAATAATAGTAATTAGAAGCATACTTTTAAGATGTAAGTCTGTAAGAAGTATTTTTTTTCTTGTGCTTTTTTGTAAGTAGGATTTCTTTTTAGTTAAAAGAGTAAGTGATTAAACAATGAATTTTTTGGAATTTTGTGCAATTTGTTTTAATTCCTAAAATTTATTTATATGCCTTTTTATTTATTCTTTGTTTATTTGTGTTCATTTTTTATTATAAAAGCATGACACTTTTTACTTTGCCTGTTTCTACAACTGGGCATGGACAAGTGATATCTGGTAATGTTTTGTTTACTCTAGTATTGCTGTTGCAACTTTTGTTAATTTTCTCTTGTGTTATTTTGTTTTATTTATTTCCTTTTTTCTGATTTGATGCAGGGAACTGGAGCCTTGCAGAATTGATTGATATTGCACTTGTATATTGGCTGTGTTGTGAAAATAGGTTTACAAACCTCACACTAACATTTGTGCACAGAACTTTATCATGATCCAGATCATGTTAATTTTTAGATGAGGAGAACATAACCCATTCATTTGCATTTACATTCAATTAAAAAGTCAGAGAACTGTCTGTTACAATAATTATTCCAGCAGATGGTTTCTGCTAAATATACCAATCATTGTAAAATATATCCAGTCAAATATATGCTTTTAAGCTAATGCATCTTTTGAAAATTCATAGAATTGGAAAGTAATAAAAAAAGAAGAAAAAAGGTGATCTTTCACCTCAGAAGTGGATGGTTAAGAAGCATATCTAGTAATCATCATATCCTGTTCACTCATCATATCTTTTCATTACGTGTCATCAGGTTCTTTCAGAAGTGGTAGTAAAGGTGAGACTTTTCTAATGTTTTTTACTGACACTATAATTTTGAGCTCTTGATTGTTAGCCTTACAAGGGCAAGCAAACAGTCAACGGAGGGTATCATGAATAGATATCTAAATACATAAGTGCAAAATAAAAAGACTGTTTTAGTGGGTATACAAAATTATATTTATAATTCCCTACTTGGAAAGACAGTTTACCTCATGTCAGATGATAGAAAGGACTGTCAGAAAAGGTGTAATTGAATTATTCTTGTACAGAGTTGGTGCCAACCTGTAATTAAGTATGCATTTTAGTCAAGAAAGAGCAAACAGAATCAGTCTCAGGTTAGTGCAACAGATCACCATGTGATTTTATGAATAATGCCAAGTTTCTAGAAAGTTTTATTTTTTCTTTTATTTCAGCATTTATTGTATTTTACACGCCACACTCGTGGGGTGACTCTACCACCAACTCCCGAGGCCGATCTCTAGAACGCTTCCTCTTCACAAATAACCTAATTATTCTTAATTCAGATCGCCCCACACACTTTGACATGCGCACACAATCCTTTTCATGCCTTGACCTCTCTCTATGCTCTCCTACTTTACATCTAGATTTCCATTGGTCAGTTCTAGACCACTTCCCCTATAGTGACCACTTCCCAATACTCCTTTCTCCTACTTCATATGTACCACTTCCTAATCCTCCACGCTGGTGCTTGATAGAGCTGACTGGCATACTTTCACTTCACTCTCTACTATACCTATCCCTCCACCCCCTTACTGTCCATTTCAGATATGCTACATTGTTTTACAACACGATCCTAAGAGCTGCCTATACAGCCATTCCTCGAACTTCAAGACCCTATACTTCTAAATGTGTTCCATGGTGGAATTCTGATTGCTCCAAAGCGCTCCGCTTAAAACGAGCAGCCTGGAACAGCTATCGCTACAAACGAGGCACCCCTCACCAGCTATCAGCCCTTATTTCCTTTAAAAGAGCATCTGCCCATCTTCGCCGTACAATTAAAAACAGCAAAACAAATAGCTGGCAAAATTATGTTTCCTCAATTACATCTTCTACATCTATTTCAGCTGTTTGGCGACGGATCCATAAACTATCAGGCAAACATCCCCCCCATCCTGCACCCGTCCTCCATATTCGAGATATTCTCATCTCTGAGCCTGTAGAAGTAGCTAATGAACTGGGCAACTATTTCAGCCAGGTCAGTAGTGGCTCTCACCTTTCCCCACACTTTTCTTCCATTAAAACCATCAAGGAACGCACCCCTATTACCTTCACCCTATCCTCTGATGAGTCCTATAATGCCCTTTTTCTTCTTCTGAACTCAACGCTGCATTACAGTCGTGCCGCAACACTCATGAAGGCCCTGATGGTATTCACTATCGTATGCTCCGACACCTCCCATCTTCCTCTCTATCCTTCCTTTTAACTATTTTCAACCACATATGGACGTCAGGAAATTTTCCTTCTCATTGGCGAGATGCTCTCATCCTACCTTTCTTAAAACCCAATAAATCAGGTACCCTACCCCAAGATTACCGCCCCATAGCTCTAACTAGCTGCTTGTGTAAACTACTAGAACGAATGGTTAACTTCCGTTTAATGTGGTACCTAGAATCTCATAATCTCCTTTCCCCTTCCCAGTTTGGTTTCCGACGTGCCCGAAGTACAGCAGACCCACTTGCCCATTTGAGACATACATTACATCGGCATTTGCACGCCATGAATCCGTATTAGCCATTTTCTTTGATCTAGAAAAAGCATATGACACCACAT